GTGCGCGCACAGCACGCGGTGTGCCCGGGACCGGGGAAGGGAGGGTATGGTCCGCGCGGGGGGCACAAGCGCATGCCGGTCGTGCACACGTGCGGTCCATACGACACGGCACAAAGCCGAGACCAGGGGAGCAAGTGTGGAGGGGATGATCATGGGCGGGTCTCTCTCGGGGGCAGAGGGAGCAAAGGCAAGAGGCGCGCGTGCCTCCGCATGAGCGTGTACCCGAGGGAAGGAGGGAGGGGGGGGGGGGGGGCTTTCTCGCTGTCCCTCCCCCCCCCCCGTCCGGTCGACACTTGCTCGCTGGCTCTCTCGCCCCCCGAGATGGCCACTTGGCGCCTGCGCCCTCCTCCCCCCGGCTGAAGGGGAGCAGGCTCGGCGCGCACGGCTGGGCACAACTTACTGAGGGGTGCCACCGATGGCCTTGACAATCTTCTGGGCAGCGTCGTCCAGGTCATCGCCGCTGATGATGCGGATGGCACCGGAGGAGGTGGCCTCCTCCAGCAGGGCCTTGGCCTTCTCGACGTTGGTGCCGGCCAGGCGGACGACCAGCGGCAGCTGCAGGTCGATCTCCTTGGCGGCGTTGATGATACCGGAGGCAATGGTGTCGCACTTCATGATACCACCGAAGATGTTCACCAGGATGCCCTTCACCTGCTTGTCGGTGGTGATGATCTTGAAGGCCTCCTTGACAGCCTGCTCGGAGGCACCGCCACCGACGTCCAGGAAGTTGGCCGGGGTGCCGCCGTACAGCTTGATGATGTCCATGGTGGCCATGGCCAGACCGGCGCCATTGACCAGGCACCCGATCTCGCCATCCAGGCCGATGTAGTTGAGGTTGTACTTGGCGGCCTCCACCTCGCGCGGGTCATCCTCAGCCGGGTCGTGCTGGTCGAAGATGGCCTTCTGCCGGAAGCTGGCATTGTCGTCGAAGCCGATCTTGGCATCGAAGCAGACCACTGTGGTGTGCGTGTGCGTGTGCGTGTGTGTGTGCGTGTGCGTGGGTGTGTCGGCGGGGGAAATGGCGGCAGAGGAAGGCAGGGCGGCAGGGGAAGGGAGGGCGGTGGGTCAGACAAAGGGCCCTGCCTCGAGGGAGGGGGCGCGAGAGCGCGAGCCAGTGGCACACAGCCGGGAGAGGAGGAAAAAGAACGCCGAGCGAAGGTGCATCACCCCCCCC